GTAAATTTGTGCAGCGTGCTACAGGAACCAGACCCTTTTTTTGAAATGGGTTTTAGCAGATTAAAGATGGAGAGAAAGGCAGTAATGGTTTGTGTTTTAAATAAAATTAGGATTGCTGGGTTCTGTTCCTGACTCTGCTATGAAGGCCTTTTCCACACAACAACTTTTAACTGTGTGTGTGTGTGTAGTTAGTGGTGGGGATGACTGTAAATGATAGTTTGTGTCTGCGCAGGTCACGGATAGAAGTTAGTAGTTGTGACAGCTAACAGCAGCCTAGGCTGGCACCTGGCTGTTGTCTTTTGTAACAGATTAAATGCACTGGGGTTTGTTTGGTGAAGAAAGTACTCCCGGCCAGTTCTTCTAGCTGTCAGTGCAGGAGGAGATTTGAGTTCTTTGCCTTTGCTGATGGGTGCTCTGTGCGTATGACCTTCAGTCACACAGTGCTTCTGCTGAAGCACTATGGGACAGTTGCTATGATTTTCTCAGAAGGCATAGATAAAACAGTTAGGCATCGTGGTACACGCAGAGTCAAACAATCATATGGCAATAAAGCTGCTGTGCAAATGAAAACTGAACCATGTTACTTGTGAACCATGTTACATGTAACAATTAAGATGACTCTGTTGCCGACTGGCTATAAAATCACAGTTGAAGACCTAACACACTGTCCTTGGCAAGTCGGTTTTCTCTGTGCATCAGTTTCTAAAACCTTCCATTGGCTCTCCCTTGTGCACAAGGTTCAGTTTAAATTTGTTTTCCTCAGCTTTCTGTCTCAACAACTCCATAGCATCCTCTCCTACATCTCAGAACTTATGTTACTTTCCCCTGGCCATCACCACTGCCAGTGATATCAGCCTCTATGCCTTGTGCATTTCTTTCTCTGTGTAAATTGCTGTTCCATCCCAGTTTTCCAAACTACCAACCTCTCATTACTATTCCTCTGTGATGCACATAAATGAGTATATTACTCTATAGAGGGGCAGAAACAAACCCTCTGTTGTTCTCATCTCATGATCTCTAGCAATACTGCTTGAGATTTTGGAATGAAAGATTTATGAAAAGTATTTGTGTATTCAAAGCTGGTTGGTTGGTTGTTCATTCTAATCTTATTGGTTCTATATCACTAATACTTAGTATTATAACATACAAGTTCTATACATATGCTATACAAAGAGAAATCTCTTGAACAAAATGTTTAGCAACACAATTGAGAGTTCCAAGTAGTAACCTAAAAAAATATTTCTCATTTTTCAGAGATGTAATAAAAAGAATAGATCAGTCGGAATTTGAAGGATTTGAATACATTAATCCATTGTTGCTGTCAACAGAGGAAACAGTATGAAGGAATGACTTCTCCATTGTGGACAAATAATGTGAATGAACTTTAAATTTATCCTTAACTACAGTATATGCATGCAAGGCTGGGGAACTGTAAGGGTTTGGAAGGAGACCAATGATAAAAATTATTGCTGCTGAAAATCAAAGATGAGAATATGATTTTGGTGGGTGTCTTCCTCTAAATACTGGATTTAAAAAGTTTTGGGCACTGACACAACTGGCTTCGTTAATGAAGGAATTTGCATTTGTGCCTGTCTCATGAAGGATCAAAGTGTTCATTGCATCCTCTAGAAAAAGAGAGATTCCATCAACAACTTTGAAAGCTACGTACTTTCCAGAAACACTTGATGCAGTGAGCTACTAATTGAAGAATATTAGAGTGTAACATCCTGAAGAATAAAACGTTAGTGGTGTTGAAGCTTATTTTTATGCCTTTTTCACAAGTGGTACCTGTCTAAATGTCTCAGATACGGTATGTAAAAGGAGTTGTGTTTTATTAGCAATCAAAACATAAATTTGGGTACACGTTTTAAGTGCCTAAATGGATAAACTGCATTGAAGACTTACTACATATTTTCAACATTCTTAACCCTGGTAAGTTATGCTTGTTAACATTAAATAAGGAAAATACAAATAAAAGCTGCAACCTAATACTGAGGTACATCTTTATAGAGGAGCAGAGTGATTCAGCAATACCAATTCCAAATTAGAACATCCCGTGTCAAATCAAAAATCTGGATTGTTTAAACCTCAATTTTAGTTTAAAAAAACAAAACCTAAATTTGCACAGAGTGGATTTCTGAAAATACGTAAGCAGTGCCTACAATGATGTCTTGTGTATTAGATTTTTGAAAAATATTTTTATCAATAATACAATATTCAGAAATAGAACAACAAAAGTGTAATGGATCGTAGCCTTAAAGTTTAAATAGCAAATCTAGATTATCCATACACATGCTACATTTTCCTGATAAAGCACACCTCCTACTAATTAACTGTCTGCTTAGAAATACTCAGTGTATATTACTAATTCATTGTTCTACATAGGAGAACGGGATGCTTTGATAAAAATGGCTTGCTTCAAAGCAGTAACTTTTTCAATGGAGGGGGGAAAATGAATACACGATAAATTTGGGTGAGGTGATAGATGTTCAGTCCCTTCTCTTGAAAACTGGGAAAAAGGGGATGTTGTATCACAAAGGTTAAGAATTTGTTGTCAGCTGTGGAAAAACTCCTGTCACTATATTTGATGACTAAATGTGCACTGCAATCTAAAACCTTTCAGATGCTTGTAAAGATTTACCTGTCTCATTGCAGATGACAACAACAGAGGCAGTACTTTGTGCTAGGTTTTTGTTTAACTACATTGTGTGGCTTGTGGTTTTGGGGGAAAATTGATGTGGGAATTTAGAAAAAACCAAGAAACCCTGTGCCATGACATCTCATCTAATTTGGTGTAAAATGCAGGATAAATTGCAACATTTTTTCACTTTCTTTACATTAATATATAGGTTTCTCAGGGTACAGCATTGCATTAGGTGCTGAACATGACATCTTTCGGATTCACATCCAAGTCATGAGGTGCTAGGATGAGACTGCCAAAACATTGTGTTTAAATTTTTCAATTAACCATTGGTTAACAAACTACATTTTGTATCCCTTCATTGGCCACAATTATGCAAACCTGTGGTAATTCAGTTTTATTAATCCCATCCAGATTTGAGTTTTGGATTTCTTTGTGTTGGATTGTAGCTTTTTATATTAAGCAAGATGTGTTCTAACCAGCACTAAATTATTTAATCAGAAAAAAGTACTTGCCTCAAATGCCTGGAGTTTAGATAATTTGGTATCTAGTAAAGGAGGAGTTTACTTTTTAAATGTGATATGAACTTTTTTGTTTTAATTCCCCCTTTTTTCCCTCCTTGGCAATTTAGTGTACCCTGAACATTTTCTGTTTCAGTATTTAATCAATGCCCTTCCTTTTACAACTGATCATTACTTAAAACAGGGACTCTGGCAGTTCTTGCATGGAGATATGACAAAGCTGCCCTTAGATGGATCTGGGCAAGGGGCTTAGAAGTGGAAACATGAAGGTTTTTTACCTCAAATTTCTGAGACATTGGAACATTTTATTTGGGGGGAGTGGGGGGGAGGGGAAGAGAAAGGGACAGACAGACACATTTGCTCAACAAACATTACAAAAAAAATCCTTGATTTATTTACAATTCAAGGCATTTACAATGTTTCTGTGTTGCCAAATAGTTTGCTGGTTATAAGTTTGGTTGCTCACGTGCAAGTGTATGAACAATGTTCTGTTCATGATGAAGGGGGAAATTTTTTATATAAAGTACTTCTTTTATAAATTAAAGAAAATGAAGGATGTAATTAAATGTGTGGTTTGAAAAAAAATCCTAATATATTACAAATGGATCTGGTTATGATATATAGTTGTCTTATTTGAAATAGTAAATGAAAACTCTAGTTAATTTAATGATTGTAAAACAGTAAATATGTTCTTGTAGTTTTGTATAATTAATTAGTTGAGATCTTTGCTGGCCAGTTTTAATTGTGCAGAAGATGGTATTCTAATCCATAACAGCTAAGATCATTTATATTCTTGCACAGCTATTAAAGACTTTAATGAAAAAGCCAACAGATTTATTATTTATCACCATGTTGAGAAATGACCAAAATAGTTAGATTTTTTTTAACTGAGAGCCTGATGGTTATTGTAAATTAAAATATTCAAGGTTTATATTTTGATACTGTATTATTTTTATTCTGTATTTTTGGACCATAACCAATGCCTAAGTCATTGAGACTGGTCCAACAGTTTCTCTGTGGCAAAAAATTTTTGTTCAAATATTGAACTTTTACGTCAGTGTTAATTTAAGGTGCATTCTTTCACAGCACAACATGTGTAGCCAAGGCCAAAATAATGGAAAGAAAATGCAGACCAGTCATTTTTGTTTTTTATTCATAATCTTCATATGTGTAGAAATGAGTTCACACTCAGGGATTGTGAATCCAAATATCATGTAATGCATGAATGAATTACCCTGTTTGGTGAAAACAGGTGTCTGTCCCTTGAGGAAATGAAGCACCTATTGTATATCAGTATCTTCCCTCCTTCCCCACAAATTGTTTATAAGCGATTACCGAATGTAATGATCTGCAATCAGTAATGAAATTTAAAAATTTACAACATATTTAACTGCAACTGTCTTGGTAACCAGCTGGAAATTGATGTTGTGTATAATTTTAAAGCACAAAATCTGATCTTGAAAATGAAAGAGCATAAAAAATATCAGTGTGATTTACTGAACAAAGAAGCTGTGCTGCTTTACATTTTCACATGTCTGGGGGCAGCAACGTGGATATTTGAGCCTTGTTCTACTAGCATAATTACATTAAACTGTTCTGCATTTGGCTGCTATGAGAACATCTAGCTGTGCATTTATCGGGCATAATTTATGAGGCTTGCTATCTTAGTTATTTTAAATGAAAGGTTATAATGAAGCAGACCTTGACTTATGGGGGAGAATCAGGGAGCAGTGATATGAATCCAGGAATGTCATTTGTATGAAGGGTGCAGTTTTCCTTCCCTAGTCTGGGATGATATACCATCATATATATATATATATAGACAATACAGAACAGTGCAAAATTCCAACTAGATTTTTATTTAAACTGTTTTCAAATAAAGCATGAACTGAAATTTAAAAGCCCAAAGAGACATTTGGTACTATAGCACTTTTTTAAAGTATCAGGCAATTTATTTTCCAAAAAGTTAACCATTTAGAACCTGATACAAAGCCTATTGAAGTCACTGGATTCAATGACATTTGGATTAGGCAAATTAAGTCTACAAGAAAATTTCTTGCATCAACCTCTTCTTGCTATACCTTTCAAAAGCATAACAATTTAAATACATGGTAAAAGAGAACAGATACTGTACTTCAAGGAGTCACAATAGTACTTTCTTGATATGCATTCGGTGGGGCTCCACAGCATCCGAAGTATGCCAGCACAGTTCTCTTTGCAGAATCGGGGATACAGTGTAAACACAGAGAGGTTCAGAGGAACTGAGTAGGCTGATGATATTTCTGAACTTCCTTTGTTTAATTACACAAGTTTAATACACATTATATCAGGACACGTTTGCTTGATATACTTTCCTTTTTTCTTGTAGAGAGATTCATATTTTAGCATCTGACTTCTTGGATCTTCATTCTTGTTGTTTTACCAGATCACATCATCTGCACTTTCAGACAAACATTTAGCAAGATGGCTATCAATATCCAACTGTGACAATCTGCAAATTAAGAGAGAATTCTTTCATTTTATCAGAACTACTAATCAAATCTGTTTCCTTCATTTACTCGCACTCCCCCACACTCTGAACCTGTTTCCAAAATAGTAACTTAAATTTAGAAGCCCATTTAATATGGGAACTGCATGGAGACTTGCAGAATTTCCAGTTAACTATATCAGCAGTTCTCAAACTGTGGGTCACGACCCTGTTTTAATGAGGGCACCAGGGCTGGCTTAGACTTGCTGGGGCCTGAGGCCAAAGCAGATAACCAAGCCCCACTGCCCAGGGCTTCGAAGCCCACGGGCTTCAGCCCTGGGTGGCAGGGCTCAGGTTACAGACTCCTTGCCTGGGGCTGAAGCCCTTAAGCTTCAGATTTGGTCCCCCTGCCCAGGGCGGTGGGGCTCAGGCTTTGGCCCCCCTGCCTGGAGTGGCAGGGCTTGGGCAGGCCCAGGCTTCGGTCCCTCCTCCTGGGGTTGTGGTAATTTTTGTTGTCAGAAGAGTTCACGGTGCCATGAAGTTTGAGAACCCCTGACCTAGATCAATAACCATGAGTAATGTGGGGAATATTCTGAAGCCTTTCAAAAAGGCTTTTGGGTATGCTCATTCTTCCACTTGGAGAGAAAAAGGTAAAATGAATTCTCTGTACAGCACCCTTCATAGCCCTTGGTTTAAAAAAAAAAATCTTCTCCAAAGCAATACAACCCAAATCACTAGTGGAAAGGTAGGTGTGATGCCACAAAAGAGTAGTCTTCTCTGTCACATCACTGGCAAAACTGAGACATTTTTATTAGTTGCATTGAAGCAATCCTTTCATTTGTCCCCTTGTACAGTCTCCAGGAGGGAGAACGAAGCTGCAGGATTATTATGCTGTATGGCCTAAGGCCATAAGATGCTTTGCAGAACACCTACAAGCATATTACTAACGTTACTTTTCAGCAGCTGGTGAGGAGACCACATGAATGCTGGTAAGAGGTATGGTATGAATACGCCATTTAGTTCATTTCTTATAGCAGGTGTCTGGTTTAGGAAAATATTTTTATTATGAATTTAGTTCCTGTGAAAAGCCACCTCAACAATAAGGGAGACTGAAATCATGTTTAACCACCAAACATGGGAACAGCAAAGGCAGTGGCAGCTTCCCCTCTTCCCCCTCCCCCCCCCCAACCCCTGAGCTCTGACCTGGAAAGGCCACTTCTAAACATGAAAGGGTAGTTTGTCATCCATGCATATTCAGTCTTTGGGCCTGTTTTTTCTGGTTTGAACCCCACCTGCTCACAAATATGACCCACCAAATAGCTGACAATTTGTCATTAATAACTCACTCAATTTAGATCAGTGACCTTAGAAGTGGAGACTCCTCTTTTACAGATTAAAAACTAGTCAGCCTACCAGAAAAATAAAATTAAAACATGAGGCCCACAATCTGTAACAGACAGGCACAGTCTCAAAGTACATAACATATACTATGCTGTAGCTCAGTGCTCAGGCCAAACTGACTGCTAATTATGTCCTACACTATTTTTGTTTGGGTCACAAAGGTTACCCCTGGGAGTTTTTATTCAGGGTAAAACCACCTCACGGGCTGCAATAAGAGTGCAGGATCAAGTATTAAGAGAGATTTTTCTTATCTTTGATATACAGGGATTTCCATACTCAATCATTTAACCACCATGGAGAGCTGAGTGGAACTCAGAATGCATCAGGATGAGATTACTGTAATTCCCTATCCCAACTCCATGTGTTAGCGTTACTCTGTGCCGCTAAATAGTGGCCAGCATATTGAGCCTTAAGAGCAAAAGGCAAAAAGTAAATGTCCAGGAGCCACAATTATATTTTTTAACTGAGATCAGCAAAATTATTTCTAAACATACCAGTAACTTTGACATTTTGCATTTTCTATAAAAATATGCCAAAAGAAGGATTTCCACAAATTTAAGCCCCAACCCACTCGCCAAAACAGCAGCTTCAATTGATCTAAGAAAAATTTCTTCCACTTCTACCAACAGCCAGCATTCAGATAACTGGCAGGTTTCTCATCCTGAAAGCGTAATGATTCTTCTGTGGTTTTGTCCACTCAGGGATATTTATTAGCATTACTATACCAATATGTTTATACCAGTATAACTTCCCCTATGCGTTAACGTTCTTATGCACAACCATGGAAACTGAAAAAAGGCCTCTTATTTTAAATGTGTCCATCTAAGGAGTCAGTAGTATAATTATACTGGTAAATTTCCCAGTATAGACTGACTATTATCACTTCATGATCCTTTACTCAAACTGAGTGAGTATTAGCTGTGAAAGATCTGTTAAAACAAGGTTGTCACCTGGAGCTATTCTGCACCATAGAGTGGTGTAGGAAGGCTGGCATAACCCCTTGTGTAGATGCAGCCTGTAAGAGTGGAAAATGTTTTTCTATCACCGTAGCAACACCACTTCCCTGAGCAACAGTGGAAAGGTAAATGGAAGCATTCTTCCATTAACCTAACTGCATCTACAACGGAGACTAGGTTCGCATAGATTTTTCACACCCCGAGAGTGCTGTAGGTATATTGACCGAAGTTTTAAGTGCAGACTTGGCCTTAGAGGTGCTGGGCACTCAACTCCTGAGTCAATCAGCAGAAGAGGGACATGATGGAAAGCACCAGTGCAAGTTTCTCTCACTGCCACAAGTGTGTACCTACCTCAGAGGGAACACTGATAGGTATCAGAGAAATCTGAATGGGTATGGAGACTAGGCTTTAGCTAGCAAGGGTACCAATTTTGGATGATTGAAATATACTGATCTAAAAATACATCTACTTCACCAAAAAACAATGTGCCAATTTGGAATATACAAAGTCAAAGCAGGGCTCAAATTTAGCTTTCTTTTTAGAGCAGTATAATATAGAAAACATGTGAACCTTATTCCACCTTTGTTTTGGATTTAAAATAGATTGTCCAAGCACTTTAACAGTAGAACCTTTGTCCCAATTTGCACAGCTTTGTTTATAGGGAAGTCCCAACCAAAGTGACGTGTTGTGTTTGTATACTGTAAAAAAACACACGTATTCCAGAGTAGTAAAATGAAACTTACGTTCCAGTAAACTGGATTAGACACATCGGACAACTGTCAAGAGTTAAAGTTTCTGCTCTCTGATCCTCAGCCTTTTCCTCAAGACCTTCCATTTTGCAGATGTCAACAGGAGACTTTATTTCTGCAGATGTAGATCTGGTCTCACCTAATAAAACATTATGTTGGTGCATTTGTGAAAGTGACTGTTGTCCTTTGCTTTCATTTTCTTTTCTGTTTTTCTCTTCACTCAGCACAGTCCCTTTACAGAGCTGTTGAAGGCAAAAATCTTTTGCAAGACTTTGGGTAGATGCTGGTACAAAATGCAGTGTTGAATCTGTACGTAGATTACATTCATACCTTTCAGTCCTTTCTTTTTCTTTCAGTTTTGAACTTTTTCTGCTGTGTTTCATTCTTAGGTTCTCATCTGGATCATCATTAACTGCAAGGGATATTTTCTCAACTACAGGAGCAATATTTAGCTGGTTTTGGTCTGCCTGGTCCTCCCTTTCCATTAGATGCTCAGTGTGACTTTTTGATATGTGAAAGCAGCTTGGATCCCTTCTATTAAGAGCTTTTTCTTTGGAGAAAGATGGGAGAGGTATCCATGGAAAATCTTTCATTCCAACCTTAAAGACTTCTGGTTTTGGTGGGTTCTTCTCATTTTCAGAATTCTATAAAACAGCAAAAATTTCTCTCCTTCAAAACAATTGCAATTTCTTCCATCAAAAAGTCTAGACACAGCACTTACAAGTATATTATAGAAGCCAATACTGCACTAGGGGAATGGTCAGGTCTCTTCCATGGCTAATCTCTGAGAAGTGTCTACTTCCATTTATAAATGGGAAGGGAATCCCTACTTACTATCAGGTTTCAGAATAGCAGCCGTGTTAGTCTGTATTTGCAAAAAGAAAAGGAGTACTTGTGGCACCTTAGAGACCAACTAGTTTATTTGAGCATAAGTTTTCGTGAGCTACAGCTCACTTAAATGTTAAGATGACTGAACATGAGTAAGCTTTTCTTTGGAACTGGTTAGTAATCCAGAATTTTAAACAAAGGGCTTTCTGTGAAAGGTCTAATTAGGCAAAAGATATAGATACATGGTGGGTTTTAAAGTGTTATTTATCATGCCTCAACTTTTAGATTGTCTGTGGTAACAGTTGACATCTAATTCAGATTCTGCCAAAGTTTATGTGAAGAACAACGCTCTATTTGTCCTGAGAGAGAACTTCTAACAGACAATGTAGAAACTAGGGACGTAAAAGTTTAACTGGTTAACCAATAAGCTTGATGCTTATAGTTCCAGTTAACAATTAAACTCTGCTGCCAGCCCCACACGCACCCGGGGGTCCCACAGCGCCCTGGGCATGGGGCAGGTAGAGGGGCAGCCAGGACCCTGGGCGTGGGTTGGGGGCTGCAGTGCCCTAGTTTCCTGTTAAAGGATTAACCAGCTGAAGATGTTCCTACTAGGAATGTAAACAATGGGTAAAAAAAAAAAAGTAATAGTTTCACCTACTGAAATTCACACATTACCTGTCCAAAAAATTCTGGTAAACTGGGCACTGTTTCCCAGCTTGTGTGTTTTAGATCTGGATTGACAGTCTTCAGTATCAGCATCCACATATTTTCAGACTCACTTAATCCTTGTTGTTCAAACCAGGAGTCTCTGTTGGCCAATGTTCTGTAAAAAAAAATAAAATAAAATAAATACGTGCAAAAAATAAGTGTAGAAAAAAATGCACTCTACAATACTATTAAAAACCACTTAGGCAAATTACCCCTAGTAACATACATGCTTCCTAACAAGTCTAGACCTCCAACCTCTGGTGCATAAATTATCTGCTGTAACTAAGTATTGGACAATGCCCCTGAGCAATAGTTGTTAATCTTTTCCATTGTAACCCTATGTTACAGTATAGTTTTGAGACTACCTCTCAACAATAATGAGATGAGACCCCAAAATTAAACCAAGCAAACAGGGCTGTCCCTAGCTATTCTGGGGCTCTACGTAGGCCTCTGCAGGGGGGAGCGGGGCTGGCTTGGGGGTAGGGGGAAACCATCCCCCAGCACTCACTGGTGGCATGGCTGGGGCTGGGTTGCTGTACTTCCCCCTGCCCGTGAGTGCAGCCCTGGCCCTGCTGCAGAGCTCAGGGGGGTGGGGTTAGGGAAGAGCAGGGGTTGGAAGAGGCAGGGTGGGGCAGGGGAAGGGCTGGAGCTGCACAAGGCACCAGGAAATTTGGTGCCCCATACAGCTGCGTACTTTGCACATGGGTAACGATGGCCCTGCAAGCATACTGTACCAAACCCCCCTTCCCTCCAGCTGAGTTGATTTTTTTACAGCAAATAGACTCCCAAGAGAGGTGTTCAAGATTACACACAGTTCATACTTCCTAAAATGTCTCAAATTGCTTTACTAAATCTCATTTTTATGGTGGTGGGAGATAGGAAACCAAGAAGACAACTAAAAAAATGAGGAGTCCTTGTGGCACCTTAGAGACCAACCAATTTATTTGGGCATAAGCTTTTGGGGGCTAGAACCCACTTCATCAGATGTATGAAGTAAAAGATACAGGAGCAGGTATAAATACATGAAAGGATGTGGGTTGCTTTACCAAGTGTTAGGTCAGTCTTGGTGAAACAACCCATATCCTTTCATGTATATATACCTGCTCCTGTATCCTTTACTTCATACATCTGATGAAGTGGGTTCTAGTCCCCCAAAGCTTACGCCCAAATAAATGTTAATCTCTAAGGTGCCATAAGTACTCCTCATTGTTTTTGCTGATACAGACTAACCCGGCTACCACTGAAGCAAGAAGACAACTGGTTTGGTTCTTAAAGAAAACAAACAAAAACTCCATCCTTTACACTACCACTTTTTCAACTTCTAATTTACAAATGTCTTCCATAAAGCATCTGGCAAACCATCTTAAAACACACATGTTACATAGGAGGCATGTCTTGTCATAGGAGGCAAGTCTGCAAATGCAGATTTTGCCTCCTATAACTGGGAGAGTGCCAACTGCATGGGGATGGAGGAAAAAGGGATTTTACTGTACTGCATGCTTACATACTCAGTTATCAAGATGACCTCCGTATCACTAGAGCAAGCTCTTTCTAAAACCCCCAGCAATGGAGCATTACCATGACAGTCACTCTGAACTCTTGCATTTGACAGGTCTGTTTTTTGGAAACTGAAGAGAGACTGGATTTATGGTTTATTACAACAATCTGTAACCCACTCACACACACACACAGAGCTACTTTCCTCCCCACGCTTGGAGGCTGTTAACGGGTCATTTCAATTTGAATGATCCCTTGAAATGTGTGTTAACTACTTATGTTAACCAAGAAATACTGAGTTAGTTTCCCAGACCTGAAGAAAAGCTCCGTGTAAGCTTGAAAGCTTCTCTCTCCAACAAAAGTTGGTCCAAAAAAAAAAAAAAAAATAGTACCTCATTTACTTTGTGTCTCTAATATCCTGGGACCAACACACCTACAACCCTACATACAGCCTATCCTCATGACAATCTGATAAAGGCCACATATGATGAGAATATCTTTAATTCTTTAGCATTTACTGTAAATGTAATGCTCAATAGGTGAGCATTTTCTGCTGTGTCTGGAAAAATATTTGGTTTTCTTAACAAAGGGCTTGTATATTGGACTGCATGAAAATGTGTTTAAAGGTCTGCCCCTCTCACTATTAACAACCAGGAGTAGGAATCTCATCTCCTATAATATTTGCTGGCCCAGCCCACGCTACAAGCTAGAAAAACTGCATGTAACTAAAACACTTTTCAGGAACCGAACTTGAATCATTTCAGTATCCACCAAAACCTCTACCATGGGTGAACTTGTAAGTTGCAAGTTCACACAAGTTCTCTGAGGTAGGACTTAATGACCTATAGGCAGAAGAAATTCAGTTCTAAATAACAGATCATCAATCAATCAATATGGGATTTCACCACAAACAATACAACTGGTAAAAAGTGTGAGTTGGGGAAGTGACACATGATTGCATGGAAAATACCAACAGTTGCATCCGTTTCCATAACATTGTGGGAGGCCCTCTCCACACTGATAGATGAAACTGAGGAAGGGCTGTGTAGCTGGCAAGCTTGTCTCTTTCACTAACACAAGTTGGTCAAATAAAAAAATACTACCTCATTTGAAACTACTGCTCTCTATTTAGAAATGGTATTTGAAACTACTAGTATCCTTTCAGAGGACAGTATTTAAATATTTTTGCTAGGAAGCTGTTTAAAAAGGTTGATTGCACAGGAAATAAAGAAGCACCACGAAAAAACATGGTGTATGAAGCCAGCCTCCAAAAACATCATCATATTAGGCCCCGACTTCCTCCTCCTTTCTGAAGCACCTTCCAGGGCACCCGTCCCGCGCGGCAGAGACCGGGCAACAGCCAGAGGGGGCCGAGACGCAGCTTTCACAAGCCCTCGCCTGGGGGAAGAAGCCGGGTCTGTGAGGGCGGGAGGGCCGTTTCACCCAACCCCTCTAACCGGCCGCGAGAGAGGAACCGCCAGAACAGGGGCTGGCGACGCCCCGACGGGGAGGCTGGAAAGGGCTCGCGGGGTTCAGCCGCTCCCCGGCACCGAGTCGAAAACGCGCCCGCCGCTTCTGGGGCAGCGGCCCGGAGACGGTCTCGCTCCGCAGCGCGCCCTGCGCCGCTCCCGGCCCAGCAGCCGGGCCCTGTGCTCGGGGGCCCCAGTCCCGAGCTGAGCCGCGAACGGAGAAGCCCCGGGCCCGAATCCGGCGGGAGGGGGAAGGGGTTCCCCGCGTGCGGCCCCGGCCCCGGCCGCCCCAGGCCCCCGCTGCCCACCCAGCAGGGCAGGGGCTGGGCCCGGGCCCGCTGCCAGCGCACCGCCGGCCCGGTGTGGGGCGGACCGAGACCGTCCTTCCCGCCGGGAGCAGTACCAGAGCCCGCCCCCTCCAGCCCGGGGCCTTGGCTCCGTCCCTGCTCGGCCGGGACTCACTGGCGCCGCGCGGGGGGCTCCCGGCTGCGGCCCGGTGGCGCCTTCCTGGGCTTGAGGCGCAGTTTGCCGCCTCCCTCCTCGGACATGGCCGGGCCGAGGGGCCTGCGCCGCGCCGCGCCGCGCCGCGCCGCCCCTGTGGGGCCCGCCCGGCTCCGCCTGCTACGGGGCCCGGGGGCGGGCGGGGAGAGCTCGGGCCTGCCCGGCGGGAGAGCGCGGATGTGCCCGGTGTGCGGGGGCGGGGAGAGCTCGGGTCTGCTGTGGGGCGGGGGCGTTGTGAAGGGGGAAGAGCTCAGTTCCGCCTGGCGTTGGCTTTGTAAGGGGGGCAGGCTCTGTGCTCCTCTGGGGGCAGTGGGGCTGGGGCTCCATGACGGGGGGGAGGTTGCAGTAGGCCAGACTCGGTGTGGCTAGGAGGGGACCGTGGTGGGTGCCCAGAGAGGCCCCTCACTGAGGTTGGGATGGGGAGCTTAGGCCAAGTACACAGTTGTAGGTAACGTGGCTGTTCTGAGCCCACCAGTACCCCTCCTTGTTGCCCATCTTATTGTCTCACAGATTTCCCCCAACCCCTCTGGTAAGGGGCACAGGGAAGAGGCCCAGTTGGGCGAGTATCAGGCTATGGATGAGGTGCAGTTTGTCGGTTCTCTCCCCAGGGTCAGCCATGCCAAGGGAGCCTGCTCTGCTTCTGAGAATTGGCTCCTCTGCAGTGGACTACAGAAGTTTCATAATTTCATTGCTTAAACAGCATGTGTCTGATACTTTTTAACATGCCTGAATGTAATCCTGGGTGCACTGCTGTGCAACTGATTTGTGAAAAGGCAATATTTGCCAGGTAGGTGGCCCCTTGGGGGTTTTGTTAGGCTCTATTTGGTCAGACTCCGACACTGAGTTAGCTAACACATTGCTTCATGACGCTGGGGCATCCAGACTACAGGAGGATGAAGAAAAGGAGTACTTGTGGCACCTTAGAGACTAACCAATTTATTTGAGCATGAGCTTTCGTGAGCCACAGCTCACTTCATCAGATGTGTACCGTGGAAACTGCAGCAGACTTTATATACACACAGAGAATATGAAACAATACCTCCTCCCACCCCACTGTCCTGCTGGTAATAGCTTATCTAAAGTGATCAACAGGTGGGCCATTTCCAGCACAAATCCAGGTTTTCTCACCCTCCACCCCCCCCCACACAAATTCACTCTCCTGCTCTGTCAAGCTTTCTTACAACTACAATACCCACCTGCAGAAGTAAAGAAACAGATTGATAGAGCCAGAAGAGTTCCCAGAAGTTACCTACTACAGGACAGGCCTAACAAAGACAATAACAGAACGCCACTAGCGGTCACCTTCAGCCCCCAACTAAAACCCCTCCAATGCATTATTAAGGATCTACAACCTATCCTAAAGGATGACCCAACACTCTCACAAGTCTTGGGAGACAGGCCAGTCCTTGCCTACAGACAGCCCCGCAACCTGAAGCAAATACTCACCAACAACCACATACCACACAACAGAACCACTAACCCAGGAACTTATCCTTGCAACAAAGCCCGTTGCCAATTGTGCCCACATATCTATTCAGGGGACACCATCACAGGGCCTAATAACATCAGCCACACTATCAGAGGCTCCTTCACCTGCACATCCACCAATGTGATATATGCCATCATGTGCCAGCAATGCCCCTCTGCCATGTACATTGGTCAAACTGGACAGTCTCTACGTAAAAGAATAAATGGACACAAATCAGATGTCAAGAATTCTAACATTCATAAACCAGTCGGAGAACACTTCAATCTCTCTGGTCACGCAATCACAGACATGAAGGTCGCTATCTTAAAACAAAAAAACTTCAAATCCAGACTCCAGCGAGAAACTGCTGAATTGGAATTCATTTGCAAATTGGATACTATTAATTTAGGCTTAAATAGAGACTGGGAGTGGCTAAGTCATTATGCAAGGTAGCCTGTTTCCTCTTGTTTTTTCCTACCCCCCCTCCCCCAGATATTCTGGTTTAACTTGGATTTAAACTTGGAGAGTGGTCAGTTTAGATGAGCTATTACCAGCAGGAGAGTGAGTTTGTGTGTGTATGGGGGTGGGGGGAAGTGAGAAAACCTGGATCTATGCAGGAAATAGCCCGACTTGATTATGTAAAGAGTTGTCACTTTGGATGGGCTAGCACCAGCAGGAGAGTGAATTTGTGTGGGGGGGTGGAGGGTGAGAAAACCTGGATTTGTGCTGGAAATGGCCCACCTGTTGATCACTTTAGATAAGCTATTACCAGCAGGACAGTGGGGTGGGAGGAGGTATTGTTTCATATTCTCTGTGTGTATATAAAGTCTGCTGCAGTTTCCACGGTACACATCTGATGAAGTGAGCTGTGGCTCACGAAAGCTCATGCTCAAATAAATTGGTTAGTCTCTAAGGTGCCACAAGTACTCCTTTTCTTTTTGCGAATACAGACTAACACGGCTGTTCCTCTGATACAGGAGGATGGAACATGTAACCAGAGTTTTCTGCAAATGGCCAAGAGGACTAGAACCTCAGCTGCATTCATCCTTAGTTTATTGATTTTGTGCCCATGCCGGGGATCTGTTTACCTTGGCAGCCAGCAACTCAGTTGCTCATTCAAATAACAAAGGTATCATGAGTGCATCTCTGGCCTAGCTCCTCTTTTAAGAAAGAACAGCAGTGAAGCGAGGCCATTTGTCTTTTCTGGGAAGAACCTGTGTGTATGACGTAAAATGAAGTGGTTCCTAGAGCCGGGGCATAGCTGGCAGATTGACATGTACAAATACACTGGCTAGGCTGCAGCCCTTTCAAAAATAGATATGCTATTAGAAATGCCATAACAGAAGAGGATCATACAGAGAGACGGGGGGGGGGGGGTGACCAAATGCCTCCCAGTCACCACAAGAAGAATTGTACTAGAAAATAAAAGTCCACCATCCCCATACCCACCTGACACTAGGTGCCTGTGAACTGCAGAAGGGAATCAGGTATGTTTATAGGGTGAATTTACTATTTGTCAATGGTGCCTGACTGCCCTGGGGACTGGAAACCTGTTTCTTCCTGCACTATGAACAGCATTGATGCCCACTCTCTCATTTCATCTCCACACTTTACTTCCACACTGACCTATAGGGCTGAGGGGATATTTGTTTCTGTGACCCATTTACATTATTTAAATTGGTTAGTCTCTAAGATGCCATAAGTACTCCTTTTCTATTTACTCCTTAGTGTCTGTGCTGAGGTTGCCAAGTAGGTGTCAATTAGTGCTAACTGCAGTGTTGTTGGTTTTAGGTATGTCCCCAAGTTACTGGGCTGAGCTCTCCCTCCCCGCCCCCCTCTACAACTTTTCACATAGGCCACTAAATAGCAATTACAGAACAGCCACCTTCAGTCACTGCATCCCTGGGCCAGATTTGAACCAGCAAAATGGCGTTCAGATCCCACGGTGATTGGTGGACATCAGAAACACCTAGATAGGTATAACCGACAGGTGATAGCACCATATCATATTGCCAGCCACCCAGTCCTACTGAGCTATAATTAAAAACAGAGGAAGAATGGTTGACTGGTGAGGGCACTAGCCTGAGACTTGAAAGATTGGGGTTTGATTCCACAGCTTCATTATATGATCTTGGGGCGATCACTTTACTTAGGGTCTCTGTATTTCAATTCCCCATCTGTAAACTGGTGATAAGAAGTGGTTCCCTACCTCACAGTGGTGTTGTGAGGATAAATATACATTAAAGATTTTGAGGTGCTCAGATATTACAGCAATGGGGGGGCCGTTAAATAGGCCATACACGGGAAAATACTAGGACTCACCAAGCCTGAATTCTGGCATTTCTTGTGCTTAGTGGTCAGGCTAAATGAAAATGAACTTTGCCTCTAGAAAGAAACAGCCTGAGTTTGTTCTAGAAATACTAATGGGCACCTACTAGACTGACAGTTTCCCTGGACCCTTGTGTTTGGTTCCTGGCACCAGCACACTCATAAAATACTAAAAAAGCCTGTTGTCTTAGAATTCACCTGTAGTCTGTGCTGCTGGCATTTGAAAGCTGCTCCCCAGTCAGCTGATATGGCATTCCTGCAAGCCACCTGTCCTGTCAATGATAAAGGATTAGAAAACGTGTCTTATAGTGACAGAGTCAAGGAGCTCAATTTAGTTTAACAAAGAGAAGGTTCAGGGTTGACTTGATTATGGTCTGTAAATACTTACATGGGAAACAAAATATTTAATAATGAGCTCTTCACTCTCATGGAGAAAGGTCTAACACAATCCAATGGCTGGAAATTGAAGCTAGGCTGATTCAGGTTGGAAATAAGGTGTACATTTTTAACAGTGAGAGTAACCATCTGAACAATTTACCAAGGATTGTGACTGATTCTCTGTCACTGACTATTTTGAAATCAAGATTTGATGTTTTTGTAAAGGATCTGCTCTAGGAGTTATTTTGGAGGGATTCTGTGGCTTGTTATACAACAGGTCAGGCTGGATGATCACAGTGATTCCTTCTGGCCTTAGGTCCATTCTGACTCCGCAGAGCCAGAACCAGGTGGGCTGATGACAAAGGCAAATCATTTTATAATCGATGTAGGGAGGACGATGGCGATGGGGATAGAAGAGACAGATGAGGTGAAGTAGACCTGGGACAGCAAGGAAAAGGAGAAGAGGAGCAAGGAGGGGGAAAACATACTGCAATGCAATGGCTCATTAAAGAAGGGAGCATAAAAAGAATCGGAAAATGTTTGTAAAATCAAAGTAAAAAGAAAAGGAGTACTTGTGGCACCTTAGAGACTAACCAATTTATTTGAGCATGAGCTTTCATGAGCTACAGCTCTGTAGCTCACGAAAGCTCATGCTCAAATAAATTGGTTAGTCTCTAAGGTGCCACAAGTACTCCTTTTCTTTTTTGCGAATACAGACTAACACGGCTGTTCCTCTGAAACCTGTCAAAGTAAAAAGTGTATCTTTTATCCATTTATTTTTTAGCCCTGGCAACTGTGCTGAGTGAGCATTCGAATTAGTACTACCAGTATTCTCCACGTGGTGGCAGCAGACAAACATCTCATGCTTTAGGAAAACCAAAAGCTCTCCTTTTCAATATGAGTGAGTGGCAGCCCAGCCCTGGTAGCTTTATGTGCAACTGTGCTAAATGTCTGGGCATGTGCATGCATGCATGGGCATATTTGTGTTAATGTCTGCGCTTGTATGGTAGTGTCTCTGTGTGACCATGTCTACTTGTGTTAATGTCTCTGCGTTTCTCTTTGTGTTGCCCTGGACGACAATCCTCATCTCAAAAAGGTGGTATTTTTGCAATATTGTAAAATGCCCCCAGTGCTAGATATGAATTGTCAGAAACAATAAATCAGCAGCTATTCTTAATTTTCTTGTTAAATGTGTATCTTAATATGATACTATTTTTGTCATATTGTATACCATAACATTTGCAGTCGGTCTAATGTAGCTGAGGATACGTGAAGGGGAAAATCAAACTTACAGCACGGCAAGGGTTCAAAAATGAAGCACTCATTAAAGAAAACCCAAAGAATCAGGAGAAATTGTTTCAGTGCTAACTGTAAAATCAAAGTAAAAAGCATTAATTGCTGTTGCAATCCTAGCCCTAGCATTTTCTGACTTTTTGGGGAATTAAACTGTATAAACTCAGTGCTACAATTTTCTTGCATTTAATGTGTATCAAATGTACTGTTCCTAGGGTAACACTTCAACCCCCCCTGCCCCTTATACCTGTAGTGAAGCTTTACACTCTTGGCCTGTCTGTCTGTTTCCATGAGTACTCACAGAGTTGATTCTACCCTTTTGGGAACTTCATCCCCATTTATCTCCTACACATATTCAACATGTTTGAATCTGCCTTTTTCTGGAATTAGTTCAATCTAAACTTAACTTCTCCCACTTGCAGGAGCCAGATTCAAGGGCTCTACTCCAAATTGTTTTTGTGATACAGGCATCTATCCACCAGGACCTGCACAGAGAAATCTCACATTATTTCACACAGCCCCTGGATGAACTGTTGTCGTGATTTTTGGTCTGAGAAGAGGAAGTGTTGTCTATTGGTTAGCGCAAAGAACTGACCAACAGGACAGCTTCTAGCCTTGGTGCTGCCACCTTGGACAAGGTTACTTCTGTGCCTTAGTTCTTCCAGCTGTACAAGAGGGATAATAATCCTCATGGAACTTGCCTGGGTGGTGAGGCATACTTAACTGTGATAATGGTGATGTTTGGAGATCTTCACATGAAAGGTGCTCTAGAAATGCAAAGAATTATCATTAGCCACCATCTTCAGTTGGATTTGAGCCAGTGGCTGAGAGTTTGGAAGCTAGAGTATCTTTCCATATAGCTGCGGGAATGCTTGTCAATGCTTGTCAATGGAGTGCCATTTATCTACTCCCAGGCTGCACATGCTTAATCGTGATTTCCATAGTTCCTGATTCCTGACATAAATTAGGCCTCTGTTTTAACTTTTGCTCCCATGAAGTGGGGGTGTGGGCAGAGGAAGGGTCTACTATAACAAATTCTAATGCTCCAACAAATTTCCACAAATATTAAAGCCTATAAATCGCCAGCCAAACACACCAAGTGATCTTTTCATGGGGTGGGGGAGAGAGGAGGATGTGAAACGCAGGTGCCAGCATTTGCTGGGGAAGAACTGGTACATTATCAACTAATCCGCCTTCTGCTATTTCTGATTTCCTCCCCAACAGCTGCAGCATTAAATGAGAGCTCCTGCATTTGGGAAGAATTAGAAAGCTTGAAGTAACGGAGGGGGTCTCTGTTGGAGACACAACGACTCACAGACAGGAGGGGGGTTGTGCTTCCAGTGTAGAACCTGGAGCATTAGGCATTTTACAGCCTGGAAAAATTGTCATGTTTCAGCTGTTCTAGAATTATCAATGAAGAAAAGACACTGTCATTTGTGCTAGGATTCCCACTGATGCTGATATAATCACATGTACATGGTATGCTTTTGCATAGCCCACTGTTGATACTGTGAGGGTGACAGGAAATGTAGGTTTATTGCAAAACCTTTTTAGGTGAGGACATATGCTAATAGTTGATGCTAGAAGCTTAGAAACTGTAAATTCTATAGTGATGGTTGTTATATAAGATAGAGAACTAAAGTTTTTGAAACTGAGCTATGGTTTATCAAGACACTGATTTGCAGTTTGTTTAGAAAAAATATATGGTGAGTTTTAGTGTGTATGAAAAGTTATTCAACTCCAATCAAGGATAAGGGTCCCATTGTGCTAGGTGTTGTACTGACAAGGGCTACAAAAACACCCCTCGAGACTGAAGTTCTGACTTTGTTGCCAGAACATTTACAGAACAGGCAGCATCAGGGTAAGTTTCCCTGGCCAAAGTGCCTGAAGCATGATCTGGAGGGACTAGATCTAGTGCTGGAGAGTCACAGTGGTCCAGGGGGCTAGTTTCCCAGCTCCAGTAGAATGGGAGAGAATGTCATTTTGCACCAGGAAGGGTGCAGCACAATTCAGAGCCATTAAATTATCAAAGCTGGTCAAATCTGCCTTTAGCAAAGTCAGGTGAAAGAAGTTGATGTGGAATCTCATTTTTGAGAAATGCAAGCCCATTGCCATTTCCTGATTAAAAATTATTATAAGATCAGTGGAGGCATTTTTGCTGACCTGCCCTAGTGTTAGGGGTAGAGTCGTATGTCTTCGGTGACGCATCAGTTAGTTTGGACCCTGCTTGTGCTGGTGACTGACCAGAACCAAAGTTGGTCTTCTGAGCCCAGCGTGAGGCTCATTTTTTCAGCCCAGTCTTTTCTTTCATGATGGAGCTATGAAGCAGGAAATTAAAACTCCCCTCATCCCCCTTCCTGCTGCCCTTCCCTTTTCCCTGGCCAGTTAAGGAGAAGGATCCTGAACAAGACCAGGGGAAGCAGCAGCCACCTGGTGAGCCAGGAGCTGCAGAGAGGAACCCCTAGGAACTGTGGACAGAACTGTGTGAGGGACGTTCTATGAATGTTGGAGGTTACAGCTGAGTGCAGGTCTGGGTGGTACTATGAGGAAGCAGCAGCAGGGCCCCAGTGAGAGAGACACCACCAAGTGATCCTGGCCTGAAAAGCTCCTGTTTGCTTGAATAGAAACTGGACTGGAGAAGGCGCCCCAGGCAGTAGGCCTCAAGAACCCTGTCTCTCAAGTGGCCTGACCCTAAGGTCTCAAACAAGGATCACTGATGCTCACTTTGAAATACAACTGTTTAAACCTCTGTATCTACGGTATCGGCTGTGTTTTCCCTTTCCTGCCTGCCCTAGTAAAATACCCTTTCACTTAACCACGTCTCTGAGTGGTTAAGGGGACCAACGGGGACGAGTGCCTACAAGGCCTCACTGCTGAAGCACCAACAGCGCTTGCCTCCGAATTGTGGCACACCGGACATGCAACTGGTAGGTGAAATCCAGCACTGAGCAGCCAGCACTTTGTTGGCGCTAAAGACTGCCTAGTCCCTTTCTTCTACGCTCTTCTGATTGATTGTCTGTGTCTGAGGTATCCAGATGCCTCAGGGATGCCATATTTGGCTATTCTGCTCCACACTCCCCTTCTGTGCTTGTTCTGCTCGCGCTATATGACACATCCATCCACCAGTAATGGTGCCATCGAGGGAGTGGTGTCCATTGAGCATCTGGAGGGAATTTTATCATACCAATATGGTAGATAGGGGTTGCTGTCTAATGCTGAGAGATAGAAGGCTAAAATCTGAATCAGAGAAAGCCGTATGACCCCAACATAAAACCAGCTGTTGCTCAGGCTTGGGTGCTTGCCTACTTACTCCCATGACCATGTGTTACTATGGTATTCCATCCACTTTGAAGGTGGGATGCCAGTTTCAGAGTAGATGGTTAGTCTATGATACGTGTATCATCTCCCGTTCAGGAAGTCCACCCTTTCAGAGCATAATGAAAGTTCAGAGCCGTGTGGCTCTTTACACACAATCACACTTGCTGACATTTGTATGCCAAGATGGAAAAACCTAAAGAGAGGATCAGGGAGACTGGCATGGCATTTGCGGGCAAGCCAAGGTTGCCAAGGAGACATATTGTATTGAAACAGGTGCCTGGGAAACATTTAAAAATACATCGAGTGGCGCAGCATATGCGATGTGCCCACACGTGTTCTGTCTGAATGAAATGCCATGGCAGATGATGGCACAAGGGGACTGTTACTATTACGTGAAAAGATTCTGCACATGCTGTTAGTTTATGAGCACCCCCTGCCTATGCCACGCTGGCAGGACGTGCACAGAAGAGATCACTTTACCTGTGGCGGATGGAGTGGTGAGAGCCTGGTGCATTCAGTCAACATCAACTTCCCATGGCTGGAGGTGGCTATGAAGAGTACCCTGGCGTCACAGTTTACATCAGACAGGTCCAATCTAAATTGACAACAAACCTATGTGTTTCCCCTTAGAGATAATCTCCACAGTGGGGTTGTTGGATATATTGGTTCTCTCAGTACATTAATATTCTATTTCATCCCTGCCTGAGATGGTGGCTCCATTGTGCCAGGGGAATAGCTACACATAGTAAGGGACAATCCCTCCCACAAAGAAATTTCAATCAAAGTAGACAAGAAAGACAAAGGGTGGGAGAACGGGAGCATTTTACAGCTGGGCAACCAAGACACACAGAGATCCAGGACCATATTTACAAAAGAGCTCAGAACAGTACTAAATTCTTGTGAAAATCTGGCCCAAGTAGTGGCAGCTGGTCACTAGAAGCTAATTGGGGCTAAACCACACCAATTAAATCCTCAGATCCCCTTCTCCGTTTCTCTAAAAACAAACAAACAAAAACCCCTTTCTCTGCCAGTGAAGTCCAGGGAGGGAGAAGCAGACAACTTTCACCCCTCCAGCAGTGCCTGGGAGGAGAAAAACTCATCAACTAGTGATTTCCAGACTCTATGAGAACTCCTGCCTCCACTGGAACAAAAGGGGCAGGGCTGAGACTGGGCATGCTCACAAGCCACTTTCTCAGACCTTGTTGGAGTCTTTTTTTAAAAAAAAGTGTTGGCAGCCTTAGTGCAGTACCCACCACTGGCTCTGGTCCTGCAGCAGGGGCCTGCTTTGGAGAGAGCCAAACTACCCAGCTCCAGCCTTTGACTATGAAGAACAGAGGCAGCAAGTTGGAGTTGGCCTGGTAGGAAAGGGGGCTGGAGCTCAGGGCAGGGGGAAGCTGTGGGGCTCTGCAGCCTGGTCAGGAGTCTGATGGAGCAAGGGGAGGAATCTGCAGGGAGCTGCTGCCTGTAGGGAGGGGTCCCAGAGGGCTGTGCTGCCCAGCAGGGGTGTCTTTCCTTGGTGGGGGGCCATGCGATCTGATGGAGTTGCCTTTGTGAGGAAAAGGCTGACTTTGAGGGCTCTGCCTCGTGAAGTGACATTTTGGCTGAGGAGAGGATCTGAGTGACTGCTGTCTTTGGGGGAATGGGAGACTTTAGCCAGTGAAGGGTGGGCAGTCGGGGGGAGGGGGGTACCTTTTGGCTGGCTACTTATTTTGCGTGCCAGCTGCTCAAGGACACCCAGAGCTATGAATTGAACACAGGTCTCCTGAGTCCCAGTCCAGTACCCTCACCGCAAGTACATGTTTAGTTATGTCACATCCTGATACATGTGTGGGAGGGAAAATTGAACTCTCAACTTCCACTATAATCTTGGGGTGCTGCTGAGGGCTAGGATCCAAACTCTCCTGGCGAGATCAGTCTGGATCCTAAACAAAGACTAGGTTCAGGAGCTGGCAGGCCGTGAAACCCTGGGTTCTGTGGACCAACCCATGATTCTTCTGTGGGGGCTATGCACTTATTACTCTCCCTAGGCTTTCTGAGCTTGCCTATGAGTTTTGGTTTGTTGCAGTATTGTTTTGTTTTTTTTAATACTGTGTTGTGGAGTATTATGGGCCATAGCAGCTTGGGCTCTTCCTCCTTTGCTTTGTGCTGCTCTTCAGTTTACAACTGCCTTAGTACAATGTTAAGTAATGGCTTGAGTCATTGCTAAAGGCCACTTGACTTGTTCCACAGGTGTAAAAACTCTAAACTGATGGACAAAAATGCGGACAGACAAACACCCACCTCCCTATTCATGTGCTATTATCCCATCCATAACACAAATAATGAGTTATCTGGGGCAGTATGTAATAAAATTAGCTGAAAATAGAAGAATGTCTGTTTAGTGCATTGCTGAGTGTGGTTAAGAGCCTCAGTTAGGGTTTTGTGCTTTGGATGGAGTACCTGCTGGA